ATATAATTTATTTTTTTAATAGAATTGATAAAATTGAATAAGTTAGTTAATATTAAATATATATGTTAATATTAAAATTTAAAATTATTTTTAATTTAAAATGTATATTGAATAAAAATAATTGAGGAATAGGAAAAATATGTGAAGTTGCAATGACATTTATAAAATTAAACAATGACATTTATCAAACTTAAAACTCATTATAACAACAAAAATCAATGGTGGCGGGAACTAAATGCGTGACCAATATTTGGACATGTCTTCCTAGTGTGACAAAAGGTGTGACAATAGAAATAATTTTTTACATGATTATGTTATTCTCAAATGTCCATCTCTATTCTAATCCTACTAGACTTGGGCCGACCCTTGGAAGTTCCCTTGAGTTCTGGATTTGGCCACAAAGTTTGGCTAGTGTAAGTAGGCCAATAATCTTTGTGTCGGAGCTCTCCAAACTATCCTTCGTATATCCTTGAAACTTGTTGTAAGGTATATATGGGGGATATGTAGCTTTTGAAGTCGTGGCGTGCATCTAAGCATGAAGTAAGTACATGCGAGCAAGGGATATGAACTTTCTGGAACTTGCTACGATCACACTACATCTCATCTGGCCCCAAACTGTAAATCTCCTAGCGAGTCGAACTATTCTCCCGGATGTTGTGTTTCTTCCACTAAAAATCTAGTGCTTGATCTGTCAAAGGTGATGACTCTATGAGTGTTTTCCTTTGACCATGCATCTTGAGTAGTTTTAGTTGCAATCTTTGAGTAGAGATGTTCAGCATTAATCATTACATCCACCTCTTTGCCTCTCTCAACGAAGAACTTGTTGCAATAGGTGTATGTCACCATTACCATGGAACAAATTGGCATGTTTCTTGTTTTCTTCAAGACTGAATTAATAGACTTTGTTAGGTTTGTTGTCATGTGTCCCCATCGTCGTCCATTGTCCCATGATAGCGTCCATTTTTCCTTGGGATGTTGTCCAATAATTGTACTACTTCAGCATTATTATCTCTTGCTATGTTGTAATAATAAAAGAATCTAGGTTCAATCATCCCATATGCTGCAAAAAAATTTATTAATTAAATTATGAAAACTATATAAGAAATTTTAAAAAATATTAATGATAATATAGAGTATAGGAAAAAATAAAATTACCCATGTTGACAACATCCTTCTTCAGTGCTGCATTTTTGAATCGTCGTATGAAGTTATGTGCAATGTGTCTAATGCAATAGACATGGATAGAATTATTTTCTGTCCAACCACTTCCTGATGGAACCAACTTCTCCATGAGAATTAGTGGTTGATTCCTTCTCTTCTCCAAGGTTGATATGATGTGAAGGATGATCTCTTCAAGGGTATGGAAGTGGAGGATTTGGTGTTTGGGAAGGTGAAGGGTGACGCACAAAATGAAGGAGAGAAATGGATGGTGTTTGGTGGTGTAGCTCCTTTAGGCTAGCTCACTTCACTTAGGATGATGAAGGCCAACCAAGGAAGACCCAAGCTCACTCTAGGTAGAGAGGAGAGGATAGGGGGCCATGGAGTTCCTAGGGGACTAAGGAAGGAATGAAGAGGCACAAAGGCTCACTCAAATTCATTAATTTCCAAAGTGGCTACAAGGTGGGTTACCTAGAGTACTTATAGGGAAAGAAAGGCATCTAGGGTTTCTTGGGAGCATTTGGCCGAAATTTTGGTGTCCAAATGCACCCTAAATGAACCCTAAATGCATCCCAAATGAAATGGGTCTCATCCCTCCTAAAAGACTAAAGTACCCTTAGGTCAAAAAAAGAAAGAAATGGACTTTTGACCTTAAAAATAAGGCTTAAGTCCTAAAATAAATCCTAAGACTAATTTTGCCCCATAATACAAAGGCTAAATAAAAATACAAAATAAAATCCTAATATCTAATGTACCCCAAAATACAAGGGCAAAATGGGAAAAGGAAGCAACAAATTAAGGAGATGGCTAAAATTCCACACACATGATGATCATGGCCTTTGGTGTGGTGTGTTCTTCATCTTCCTCTACTCTCCTAGCCATGGACCTTGTGATAGGCCCTATATGATGCTTCAAGGATGGTCCTCCATCATCCCCTCCTTCTTGAGAAGGATTTGACCACAAATCTTCAAGCTCAATCATTCCATTGGTACCTTCAAGAGATGTGAGACCACAATTAGGGAAAGAAACTACTTAAAACTTAGCTATGCAATCCTTAGGTAGACAATTTGTTGAATGAAAGTGCTAGGGGAAGGACAAAGCCAAAGAGGCATCACTATTTTTGAAAAAGTTATTGACCCCATGCAATTCATTCACTAAATCATCTATCTTAGGGATTGGGTGCCTTTTATTCAATGATGGCTTTTTTTAAAAAGGTGCTCATCCTCCATTGCCATCTTTCTTTGGCACCAAAAAGAATGAGGATGGCACAAGGGTTAAGGTTCTCTAGAACCTAGCCCTTTTTCTTCAAAGGAAAAATTCTTTTTTTCTTTTCTTTTCTTTTTGTTTTTGTTTTTGCTTTTCTCCTCATCTTTCTTAGCTTTTAATTTGAGTTGGTCCTCATTCACTTGAGAAGGTGATAGAGGACACCACACAAATTTCTTTCCCAAGTGTTGGAAACTTATTTTATTGGTGAGGCCATCATGGATTGTTTGCTTGTCAAATTGCCATGGCCTCCCAAGCAAGACATGACTAACCTCCAATGGCACTATGTCACACAAAACTTCTTCTTTATAATTGCCA